AAAAAAACCCCTGTGATTTTGTACTTTCCCCCCACGAAAAAAGAAATGTCATTCAAAAATTTTTTATGGTAGGTTTATTTAAACAGTAGAACAAATAACAACAAAAAAAATCCAGAAAAATGCTGTCAAAAATTTTATAAATTGATTTGCATTTTTAATGAGGGAAAAAATTTTGACCTCTCTGCAAAACATGACTTAGTACTTGGTGGCAAAACCCTTGTTGGCAATCACAGGGTCAGACGTTTCTTGTAGTTGGCTACCAGGTTTGCACACATCTCGGGAGGGATTTTGTCCCACTCCTCTTTGCAGATCTTCTCCAAGTCATTAAGGTTTCGAGGCTGACATTTTGCAAAACTAAAACCCTTTCCCAGCTCCCTCCCAAAATTTTCAATGGAATAAGGTTGGAGACTGGCTGGGCCCAAACTCCAGGACCTTAATGTGCTTCTTCTTGATCCACTCCTTTGTTGCCTTGGCCGTGTGTTTTGGGTCATTGTCATGCTGGATACCCATCCACGACCCATTTCAATGCCCTGGCTGAGGGAAGGAGGTTTTTTCCCAAACTTGACGGAAACATGGCCCCGCCCATCGCCCCTTTTGATGTGGTGAAGTTGTCCTGTCCCCTTAGCAGAAAAACACCCCCAAGCATAATGTTTCCACCTCCATGTTTGACGGTGGGGATGGTGTTCTTGGGTCATAGGCAGCATTCCTCCTCCTCCAAACACGGCGAGTTGAGTTGATGCCAAAGACCTCCATTTTGGTCTCATCTGACCACAACACTTTCACCCAGTTCTCCTCTGAATCATTCAGATGTTCATTGGCAAACTTCAGACAGGCATGTATATGTGTTTTTCTTGAGCAGGGGGACCTTGCGGGCGCTGCAGGATTTCAGCCCTTTCCCACGGCGTAGTGTGTTACCAATTGTTTTCTTGGTGATTTATAGTCCCAGCTGCCTTGAGATCATTGACAAGATCCTCCCTGTAGTTCGGGCTGATTCCTCACCTTTCTCATGATCATTGCAACCCCCACAAGGTGAGATCTTGCATGGGCCCCAGGCCGAGAGAGATTGACAGTATTTTTGTGTTTCTTCCATTTGCAAATAATCGCACCAACTGTTGTCACCTTCTCACCAAGCTGCTTGGTGATGGTCTTGTAGCCCATTCCAGCCTTGTTAGGTCTACAAAACTTGTCCCTGACATCCTTGGAGAGCTCTTTGGTCTTGGCCATGATGGAGAGTTTGGAATTGATTGATTGATTGCTTCTGTGGACCCGGTGTCTTTTATACAGGTTAACAAGCTAGATTAGGAGCACTCCCTTTAAGAGTGTGCTCCTAATCTCAGCTTCGTTACCTGTATAAAAGACACCTGGGAGCCAGAAATCTTTCTGATTGAGAGGGGGTAAATACTTATTTCTCTCATTAAAATGGCAAATCAATTGATAAAAATTTTTTACATGCGTTCCCTTTTGGATTTTTTTTTTTTGTTATTCTGTCTCTCACTGTTCAAATAAACCTACCATTAAAATTAAAAGACTGTTTTTTCTTTGTCAGTGGGCAAACATACAAAATCAGCAGGGGATCAAATTCTTTTTTCCCTCACTGTAGTAGCTCAGAGGTAACAGTTCTAACACACTTTTACTTTGTATTTTTTTACCTCAGGGTGCTTAGTTTAAATGTAATCAGAAACCGCTTTTATCTGAGGTAGGGAAAGCCTAAAAGACAGCGAAGAGAGAGTACTAGTGAAGCCTACATTAAGGCCTGTTCCCCTGAAGAGTACAGAGTGCTGTCTGCCATTATAAGGTGATACAACACGGGTCAAAGCCCCTTCCTCTCTCTCCCCCGTCTCTCTCTCTGTCTCTCTCTCTCTGTCAGTAGAATGTAATTGTCATTGAGCTTCAGACGTTGGTTTCTAACTCCCCTTAAAGCTACACAGATTGCTTTTCTACAGCCCCTTTTTGGGTTTTTGGGCCCAACTAGATAGCAATTCTCCCCACCCAATTTGGGGGGGGGGGGGGGGGGGGGAAAAAAAAAAAAAAAAAGGGGGGAAAGAAAAAAAAAAGGGGGGGGGGGGGGGGGAAAAAAGGGGAAAAGGGGGGGGAAAGGGGGGGGGCCCCGGGGGGGGAAAAAGGGGGGGGGGGGGGGGGGGAAAAAAACCCCCCAAAAAAAGGGGGGGGGGGGGGGGGGGGGGAAAAAAAAGGGGGGGGGGGGGGCCCCCCCCCGGGGGGGGGGCCCCCCCCCCCGGGGGGGGGGGGGGGGGGAAAAAAAAAAAAAAAAAAAAGGGGGGGGGGGGGGGGGGGGGGGCCCCCAAAAAGGGGGGGGGGGGGGAAAAAAAAAGGGGGGAAAAGGGCCCGGGGGGGGGGGGGGGAAAAAAAAAAAAGGGGGGGGGGGGGGGAAAAAAAAAAAAGGGGGGGGGGGGGGGGGAAAAAAAAGGGGGGGGGGGGGGGGGGGGAAAAAAAAAAAAAGGGGGGGGGGGCCCCCCCCCCAAAAAAGGGGGCCCCCCCCTTTTTTTTTTAAAAAAAAAAAAACCCCCCCCCCCCCCCCCCCCCCCCCGGGGGCCCGGGAAAAAAAAGGGGGGGGGAAAAAGGGGGCCGGGGGGGGGGGGGGGGGGGGGGGGGGGCCCCCCAAAAAAAAAAAGGGGGGGGGGCCCCCCGGGGGAAAAAAAAAAAAAATTTTTTTTTCCCCTTTTTCCCTTTTCCCTTTCCCCTTCTTTTTCCCTCCCCCCCTTTTCCCCCCTTTTTCCCTTTTTTTTCCCCCCTTTCCTTTTTTCCCTTTTCCCCCCCCCCCCCTTTTTTTTTGGGTTTTCCTTTTTTCCTTTAAAAAAAAATTTTGGCTCTTTTTTTTTTTTTTCCTTTTTTTTCCGGGGGGGAACGGGGTTTGGGGGTTGTGTGTGTGTTTTGTGTTTTTGGTTTTTGTGTGTTTTTTTTTTTTTTTGGGGGGAAACCCAAGGAAAAAAAACCCCCCCCCTTTCCCAAGGTTTTATTTTTGGTTTTTTAAAAGGGTTTTTTCCCCCCTTTTAAAAAAGGGGGGGGGTTTTGGGGGAAAAGCAGCTGGGGAAAGAGGGTTTAAAAGGGAAAAAAAAAAAGGGGGAAAAGAGGGGGAGGAGGGAAAGTAGTATTGAGAGGTTGAGAGAGGTGAAGTGAAGTGGGGGGAAGATAAATTAAATCAGAGGAAGAGAAGTAGGGGAAAGAGGAGGAGAGAAGGGAGGAGAAAAGTGCAGAGCCTCTGTGGGGTGTCAGACTGAGTCCTGTTATACAATACAACTGCCACTGGAAGCCCACTACCGCATTGATTTGTACTGTACACTGGAGTAGGACACACACACACACACACACACAGTACATCTCCAGAGGCAAAAACAGCAACCAGCAAGCAACATTTGGCACTTGTTGAGCTTATGTTATTTTTACCTCCTTTACTCTGCATTCATTTGTTCTCTCTCTTCTTCTCTCTCTCTTCCCCCAACCCCCTTCCTCTCCCAATAATGAGAATTTCTTCAAAAAGACTCTTTATGAATTTGTTTTGATTGTATGCAACAAAGTCCCAATCATGATCTGATTTGTATACATACATGGTTATTAGTCTACCAGAAGACTCACGTTTTGAATCATTTATATTTCTATTAGGTACCCTGCCTGAAAGCCTCCCCACCACGGCACAGGCATTAATATTAAACAGATATAAGCCCCTCTAACACCAGAGGGAACAGCATCACATGAAGCTGGGGATTAGAGGTCTTGAAAGGCATCATGGGAAGGAGGAACTCTCTCTGGGCTGTATGGCTCCTATATGAGCTGGAGAGCAGAGAGACTACAGATGCCGTATCTTAATTTGAGCCAGTTTCACACAGCAGGAAAATAATCTTGCAGCAACAGGAAATGTGAATTGTTATGTGGATTATAATGAATGGACATTTTCTGTATGGGTTGATACATTTTTTGTTAGGGCAAATTTAGAAACCTTTGTGTGTGTGTGTGTGTCACGTTCGTCTATTGACGGGTCAGACCAAGGCGCAGCGTGATATACGTACATGTTTATTAAACCAAATAAACACAACGACAAAATAACAAACTAAACGAAACGTGAAGCCCAAGGTAGCACACACAACCTACCTTACACGGAACAAGATCCCACAATCCACTAGTGCCAATAGGCTGCCTAAGTATGATCCCCAATCAGAGACAACGAGCTACAGCTGCCTCTGATTGGGAACCACACCGGCCAACATAGATCTACACATAATAGATCGAAACATAGAAAACACACAACAAAGAATATACACACCCTGACTCAACATTTAAGCGTCCCCTGATTCAGGGCGTGACATTACCCCCCCCCCCCCCCCCCCCCCCCCCCCCAAAGGTGCGGACTCCGACCGCACAACATAAACATAACAGGGTAGGAGCCGGATGGGCATTCCGCCTCGGAGGTGGATCCGGCTCGGGGCGTGACGACCTCTCA